GCCAGGAGCCCCTAGTAGCTTCTTGTTCCTAGTAGTAAGGCCAGGAGCCCCCAGTGGCATCCTTGCTCTTAGTAGCGATGCCAGGATGAAAAGCGACCCACAAACCGACCCCCAACCAGGCCGATAGTCCCTCAACACGTGGGGCCTCGGGCAGGCGCCGAGTCGACTCTTAGTCGACAATCTGAATGCCTCGCTATTGACCAAGCTGCGACGCGCGGCTTGGCCCAAGAGGACCGTGGGAGATGGAGAGAAAGTATCAGTGGATGAAGTAGATGGGAGATGACGGGAGTGGGATCGTGAGTAGAGGGAAGGTGTCCTCCAAAAGGTGTGTTTTGTCAATTGATTCAACTGAGCGCTTTGACCAGACGGCCACCTAGAAGACTTGTGTTCGCCCTTCAGCGAACGGGATCGGGTGGACCACACAGGCTCCCAGTGTCGATGTGGAGTAGTTCAATCAGGATCGATCCTCATATATCATCTCAATTGGGAAACAGAGGTCTCATTGATTGGCACGATGTTTCTTGTCCCAAGGCTTAGATGGACAGGTTCTCCAAGACATTTATGGGTCCCTCGATGGATGCCTCGATGGGTGCCAGAGAGTGCTCCTTCAAGGTGTCGTAGAGGTGTGGAGAGACCCTTGGTGGCTAGCTGTATGTTAAATTAATTTCATATAAGTTCACTTGTTTTGTATCCTTTTTTAAAACATCTATTCCTCCCTTGTTTGTCATTTGTGCCGCAGGAAACTCACGTCGCAAGAGTTGGCTCCAGACGTAGTGAAACACCTCATTTGGTTTCAGAGATAACAGTACAACAGTTCTTTCTTTACGACACGGTCATGTGTCATCACCGTTTGGCAAGCTTGGCCCATGGCCCGTTCCGCTGTCGGCTAGGACCTTGGTGTCTGGGCTGACGCGAAACCCCTTGACGATGGTGGCCTCTGCATACTGCTATCATCATGAAGGGCAAGAGCTTCTCCGCAGCACCAAGCGTTGAGCCGCCTTGGGATTATCATCAAAGAACAGCACGATCTTGGAATGATCCTTCTGCGAGGTTTGAGGGGTGTGTCTTGGAGTGTCACATGGATCACCTACGGACAAGTTCTTCTCCACTCGCATGTTTTGGAGTTCTGCCGCCCTGAAACATGTGTAACCCGCTTTAAACCGCTTTTGCACGTCTTTTGCGTAGAGGGTGTGGTGCTTGTCACTGTGATCAGTCACTTTGGTCCAGTGCGGCAAGCTCGAAGTCAATCACTTCCGGCACCTCAAGCAACTTAGGATCGTAGATATTTCATCTCGAATGGCCCCGTCCGATTGGCAGGTGAATTCGGACATCCCAAAAACTGCCGAAGGGGAAGCTGTAATGCTGGGAAACATCGTTGGAACCACTGTTTCTGGAAGCCATAGCTCCCTGCAAACAGAACTGAACTACTTGTGTGGAGGAACCATTTGACAGGTGCAGGTGGTGGTGGTGGTGGTGGTGGTGGTGGTGGTGGTGGTGGTGTGTAATTTGAAGAACGCATGTGGAGCCATGGTGAAAAGAGATGGCACGTGGAGCTTCCTTACATAACCAAGATGAAGCAAAACGGGTACTTTTGATCGTTTGGTTTTTTTTTCTCTCTCTCTCTCTCTCTCTCCTTCCTGTGGAATGTTGGCCATGGATCTTGGCCGCTCCGCTCTGAAGGATTGCTCCCAAACATCAGAGGATGCTCAGCTTTTCCTCACAGATTCCAGAAAATAACAGCCAGCCATGTCCGCTGGATCATCTAAAAGTGTTCTGTTGCACTTGATCACCAATTGGATGAGGTGATAAGTTGTTCACCGCGACCCTTCCAGACATGTCCAGAGGCCTGAAAACCAGTTGATGGACACTCCTTTGCTGATGAGCTTGGGCCTTGAAGAAGGCACCAACGCCACTGCCAGGCAAGAAACTAGACCGTTGGGGTGCATTGATGTGTCGAGACTTGTATGCCGTGGAGGTTGAGACTCAGACTTCCACCCGGGAAACGAAACGATTGTGGTCACCTCATTTCGGATCGTCCACCCGGGTCAAACCTGCCGGTAAGAAGACTAGGGCTCCTGGCATCGCTACTAGTAGCAGGGACGCTACTAGGGGCTCCTGGCCGTACTACTAGGAACAAGAAGCTACAGGGGCTCCTTGAAACGAACCTTTTGTCGATTTTGGCGGTTGATTGTTGCGCTTCATGTTGTGGGAAGGCACTCGGATGTGCAAGACTAATTAGTTGCACTCATGAGATAACCCTTGTTCTTGGCAGAGTACTGCCACAAAACCATACAAAGCCATCTTTCAAAGAATAAAGAGATGAATGCAGTTGGTTTATGGTTAGAGCAACCCGTATGAGTGACTTGTGGTGTAGATCCAACAATTAAGCACCTGAAAAAGGATTAGAGCATAAAAGGGCCAAGTGCTAGGTCTTGATCAAAGCCACAACGATTTGCCAAGACGTCGTCAGAGGATTTGATCCACTGAACTGAACTCAGAAACCAGTTCTGCCTTTGAAGCTCCTTCAAACAGAAAGAGGCCACTCAACAGTGTCAACTCCCTGCATACTACTCGTTGGTGTGCCTGCAGGCTGCTGCTGCCGCAGGTGGAGTATATGGCGAGCGTCTTCGCGGAGCCAGACAACGACACCCTGAGGCTGAGGTATGAAGATTTTGTAAAGTCTTCGGAGACTTGGACCTTTTGGAACAAGAAGCTACTAGAAACAAGTGCATCGCTACTAGTAACAAGTGCCTTACTAGTAGTAACAAGAAGCTATTAGAAACAAGAAGCTACTAGGGGCTCCTGGCCTTACTACTAGGAACAAGGTTCGCTACTAGGGGCTCCTGGCATCGCTATTAGTAGCAAGGACGCTACTATAGGGCTCCTGGCCATACTTCTAGGACACAAGGTTCGCTACTAGGGGCTCCTGGCATCGCTATTAGTAGCAAGGACGCTACTATAGGGCTCAGGCCTTACTTCTAGGAACAAGAAGCTACTAGAGGCTCCTGGCGTCACTACTAGTAGCAAGGACGCTACTATAGGGCTCCTGGCCTTACTACTAGGAACAAGGTTTCCTACTAGGGGCTCCTGGCAACGCTATTAGTAGCAAGGATGCTACTATAGGGCTCCTGGCCTTACTACTAGGAACAAGAAGCTACTACAAACTCCTGGCGTCACTACTAGTAGCAAGGATGCTACTATAGGGCTCCTGGCCTTACTACTAGGAACAAGAAGCTACTAGGGGCTCCTGGCGTCACTACTAGTAGCAAGGATGCTACTATAGGGCTCCTGGCCTTACTACTAGGAACAAGAAGCTACTAGGGGCTCCTGGCGTCACTACTAGTAGCAAGCATGCTACTACAGGGCTCCTTGCCATACTACTAGGAGCAAGAAGCTACTAGGGGCTCCTGGCGTCACTACTA